TTATTTAATATCAGTCTTCCATCTGCAGTGTAAGCTCCCTGAGAATGGGGACCAAGTCTGTCTTAATTTCTTACTCACTTCTGCACTCCTAGTATCTAGCCTATTACTGTGCACAAGGCAGGTGTCAACAAATATTATTAAATTACTTTCTAAAAGAGGCCTAGACCCCCTCTGCTGTTTCTTAAAAATATGTTATTATATTGCCAACATTTTGCTACCCTAATATCAAAAATCTCTGTAGATGTTTTCTGCTGCTTTTATCCTCTGGCTTATTTAATGGATGTTTTCTATCAGATTTTCTAGGGTGGGAAAGGGGGTTCTTCTTGTCCCCCACCCCCAGCCCAGATTGGCTGAATCGGCAGACTCAGTTCTAAGCCGAAGTCCTAAATTACAGCTGGAGAAGCTACACTGCTAACAAACTCTGCAGGTAACTGCTGCACTGGCGAGTTTGGCACCCATTCTTTGGTAACGCTGCTCTGGGTCCAGATTCTCTCATCATTTCAGCCCATGCTGCGTTCTGCTTTTGCTCTCAAGGCTGCAATTTTTTCTTTGGCCACCTGCCCTTTAAGGACAGCTGGAAGGCCACCCCAGCTGCCTAATTAAGAAGCTCATTAATCTCATCTTTATCTTCCTGGTCATGCTGACGAACCCAGCTTTATGGGCCACACATTGTCACAGCTCTCTGACCCAACTTCATAGACAGTGCAAAGGAAATAGCCCAAGATTTGCAATAAAGAAACCAGAATGCATCTGCACACAATTGTTTGCTATCTGTGTGACCTTGAAAATATTACTTAACTTTTCATTGCTTCAGGTATAATATCTGTCCCCCTTACCTCAGAGACGTGAGGATCAAATGACATGATGTATTATGCCAGAACTTTATAAACTGTAAGTGGATATATACATATTAATTATAAATAATAATCTCAGCCATCTTGCTCCTTGCATGACAGAGGGAACTATTTACACACTGACATCTTTAACAAGAAAAGACTGTCTTCCTAGCACTGTCTTGTTCCTTTTTTTAAAAAAAAATTATTTATTATACTTCAAGTTCTGGGATACATGTGCAGAACGTGCAGGTTTGTTACATAGGTATATATGTACCATGGTGGTTTGCTGTACCCATCAACCTGTCATCTAGGTTTTTAGCCCCACATGCATTAGATATTTGTCCTAATGCTCTCCCTCCCCTTGCTCCCCACCCCCCGACAGGCCCCGGTGTGTGATGTTCCACTCCCTGTGTCCATGTGTTCTCATTGTTCAACTCCCACTTGTGAGTGAGAATATATGGTGTTTGGTTTTCTGTTCCTGTGTTGGTTTGCTGAGAATGATGGTTTCCAGCTTCACCCGTGTCCCTGCAGAGGACACGAATTCATTCTTTTTTATGGCTGCATAGTATTCCATGGTGTATATGTGCCACATTTTCTTTACCCAGTCTAACATTGATGGGCATTTGGGTTGGTTCCAAGTCTTTGCTATTGTGAATAGTGCCTCAATAAACATATGTGTACATGTGTCTGTATAGTAGCATGATTTAAAATCCTTTGGGTATATAACCAGTAATGGAATTGCTGGGTTAAATGGTATTTCTGGTTCTAGATCCTTGAGGAATTGCCACACTGTCTTCCAGAATGGTTGAGCTAATTTACACTCCCACCAATGGTGTAAAAGCGTTTCTATTTCTCCACATCGTCTCCAGCCTCTGTTGTTTCCTGACTTTTTAACTATCGCCATTCTAACTGGCTTGAGATGGTATCTAATTGTAGTTTTAATTTGCATTTCTCTAATGATCAGTGATGATGAGCTCTTTTTCATACGTTAGTTGTCCACATAAATGTCTTCTTTTGAGAAACATCTGTTCATATCTTTCACCCACTTTTTTGTGGGGTTTTTTTTCTAGCAAATTTGTTTAAGCTCCTTGTAGATTTTAGATATTAGACTTTTGTCAGATGCATAGATTGCAAAAATTTTCTCTCATTCTGCAGGTTGCCTGTTCACTCTGATGATAGTTTCTTTTGTTGTGCAGAAACTCTTTAATTAGATTCCATTTGTCAATTTTGGCTTTTGTTGCCATTGCTTTTGGTATTTTAGTCACAAAGTCTTTGCCCATGTTTATGTTCTGAATGGTATTATCTAGGTTTTCTTCTAGGGTTTTTATGGTTTTAGGTTGTACGTTTAAGTCTTTAATACATCTTGAGTTGATTTTTATATAAGGTGTAAGGAAGGAGTACCGTTTCAGTTTTGTGCAAATGGCTAGCCTGTTTTCCCAGCACCATTTATTAAATAGAGAATCTATTCCCCATTGCTTGTTTTTGTCAGGTTTGTCAAAGATCAGATGGTTGTAGATGTGTGGTGTTATTTCTGAGGACTCTGTTCTGTTCTATTGGTCCATATATCTCTTTTGGTACCAGTAACATGCTGTTTTGGGCACTGTAACCTTGTAGTATAGTTTGAAGTGAGTTAGCATGATGCCTCCAGATTTGTTCTTTTTGCTCAGGATTGTCTTGACTATGCACGCTCTTTTTTGGTTCCATACGAAATTTAAAGTAGTTTTTTGTAATTCTGTGAAGAAAGTCAATGGTAGCTTGATGAGAAAAGGATTGAATCTATAAATTACTTTGGGCAGTATGGCCATTTTCACAATATTGATTCTTCCTATCCATGAGCATGGAATGTTTTTCTATTTGTTTGTGTTCTCTCTTATTTCCTTGAGCAGTGGTTTGTAGTTCTCCTTGAAGAGGTCTTTCACATTCCTTGTAAGTTGTATTCCTAGGTATTTTATTTTCTTTGTAGCAATTGCGAATGGGAATTTACTCATGATTTGGCTCTCTGTCTTTTCGTGTATAGGAATGCTTGTGATTTTTGCACATTGATTTTGTTTTCTGATACTTTGCTGAAGTTGCTTATCACCTTAAGGAGTTTGGGGGCTGAAATGATGGGGTTTTCTAAACATATAATCATGTCATCTGCAAACAGAGACAATTTGACTTCCTCTCTTCCTATTTGAATACGCTTTATTTCTTTTGCTTGCCTGTTTGCCCTGGCCAGAATTTCCAATACTACATTGAGTTGGAGTGTTGAGAGAGGGCATCCTTGTCATGTGCCAGTTTTCAAAGGGAATGCTTCCAGCTTTTGCCCATTCAGTATAATATTGGATGTGGGTTTGTCATAAATAACTCTTATTATTTTGAGATATGTCCCATCAATACCTAGTTTACTGAGTGTTTTTAGCATGAAGAGGTATTGAATTTTGTCGAAGGCTTTTTCTGCATCTGTCGAGATAATCACGTGTTTTTTGCCATTGGTTCTTTTTCTGTGATGGATTACATTTATTGATTTGGGTATTTTGAACCAGCCTTGCATCCCAGGGATCAAGCTGCCTTGATCATGGTGGATAAGCTTTTTGATGCGCTACCGGATTTGGTTTGCCAGTATTTTACTGAGGATTTTCACATCAATGTTCGTTAGGGATATTGACCTAAAATTCTTTTTTTTGTTGTATCTCTGCCAGGCTTTGGTATCAGGATGATGCTGGCCTCATAAAATGAGTTAGGGAGGATTCCCTCTTTTTCTATGGATTGGAATAGTTTCAGAAGGAATGGTACCAGCTCCTCTTTGTACTTCTGGTAGAATTCGGCTGTGAATCTGTCTGGTCCTGGAATTTTTTTTCTTGGTGGGCTATTAATTAGCACCTCAATTTCAGAACCTTTTATTGGTCTACTCTGGGATTTGAGTTCTTCCTGTTTAGTCTTGGGACAGTATATGTATCCAGGAATTTATCCATTTCTTCTAGATTTTCTAGTTTATTTGCATAGAGATGTTTATAGTATTCTCTGATGGTAGTTTGTATTTCTGTGGAATCGGAGATGATATCCCCTTTTTCATTTTTTATTGCACCTATTTGATTCTTCTCTCTTTTCTTCTTTATGAGTCTTGCTACCAGTCTATCTCTTTTGTTGATCTTTTCAGAAAACCAGTTCCTGGATTCATTGATCTTTTGAAGGGGTTTTTATGTCTCTATCTCCTTCAGTTCTGCTCTGATCTTAGTTATTTCTTGTCTTCTGCTAGCTTTTGAATTTGTTTGCTCTTGCTTCTCTAGTTCTTTTAATTGTGATGTTAGGGTGTCGATTTTAGATCTTTCCTGCTTTCTCTTGTGGGCATTTAGTGCTATAAATTTCCCTCTACATACTGCTTAAAATGTGTCCCAGAGATTCCGGTACATTGTGTCTTTGTTCTCACTGGTTCCGAAGAACATCTTTATTTCTGCCTTCATTTTGCTATTCACCCAGTAGTCATTCCAGAGCAGGTTGTTCAGTTTCCATGTAGTTGTGTGGTTTTGAGTGAGTTTCTTAATCCTGAGTTCTAGTTTGATTGCACTGTGGTCTGAGACACAGTTTGTTGTGATTTCTATTCTTTTACATTTGCTGAAGAGTGTTTTACTTCCAATTATGTCATCAATTTTAGAAGAAGTGTGATGTGGTGCTGAGAGGAATGTATATTCTGTTGATTTGGGGTGGAGAATTCTGTAGATGTCTATTAGGTCTGCTTGGTCCAGAGCTGAGTTCAAGTCCTGGATATCTTTGTTAAGCTTCTGTCTCGTTGATCTGTCTAATGTTGACATTGGGATGTTAAAGTCTCCCATTATTATTGTGTGGGGGTCTAAGTCTCTTTGTAGGTCTCTAAGAATTTGCCTTATGAATCTGGGTGCTCCTGTATTGGGTGCATATATATTTAGGATAGTTAGCTCTTCTTGTTGAATTGATCCCTTTACCATTATGTAATGGCCTTCTTTGTCTCTTTTGATCTTTGTTGGCTTAAAGTCTATTTCATCAGAGACCAGGATTGCAACCCCTGCTATTTTTTTTTTTTTTTTTTTTGCTTTCCATTTGCTTGGTAGATCTTCCTCCATCCCTTTATTTTGAGCCTATGTGTGTCTTCGCACATGAGATGAGTCTCCTGAATACAGCACACTGATGGGTCTTCACTCTTTATCCAATCTGCCAGTCTGTGTCTTTTAATCGGGGCATTTACCCATTTACATTTAAGGCTAATATTGTTATGTGTGAATTTGATGGGTTTTGAATTTGGTGTGTTTCGATCTTCTTCCCCTTCTTGGTACTTGTCAATTTCTGCAATAAATTCAGACATGGACAGATGCATTCAGCTGATTCCCCTACACACATAACAATCCACTGTCTAATCCTCACACAGGGACCTCAGGCTCCTCAGCATAAGAATAGGACACTGTGAGAGATATATTTCAGGAGGCCTGAAGGCTGGTCATGATAGAGATTCCTTGGTTTTTGTTCCAGAAACTAAGGTAAAATGTCCCTATTCTGGTAGATCGTTATCCCAATATCATTTGTTCCAAGTTTGTGCAAACGGTTATGCCATATTTTTCCAATCAATTTAAAGCAAATGCCCTCAATGGTTTCTAGGAGAAAAATTGCAATCTTCAGCCCTTTCTCATCAAATACTCAGATTGTTCATGGTTGTGAGGATTTTTGACACTGAAATTAGAGTGAAAAAGGAAATCTACAAACCCTTGAGTCAAAATCATAGTTCTCTGAATTTGTGCATCTGCCCAAGTCCAATGTCTTGAGAGTAGAATCAGAGTGCCATGGGCATGGCCTGAGACTAGGAAGATAGCCATGCTCACTGACCCCTCCCATGTCTGGGCTTCCAAGTAGAACTAGAGTTTCATTGAACCTACATGTACCTATAGGTCCTCACCGTAGCAATGACATCTCTCAGCTCAGTAATGGCCACTTGGAGCAGGAATATGGGCTCTATAAGGAAGACTCAGTGGATCCTTATCACCTTCATAGAAAGGTATTCACCGTCCACATCAAGAGAAAAGCCAATGTGTTATTCCTCCAATGAGTAAAAGGAATTTCTGTAGGACTGGCATGAATCTGGCAGTTCAAGATAACTGGAAGGAGTCAAATAATAACTATTCAGTGAGTCCTGCAAGACTTCAGGCTCTACTACCTCCAGCAGTTCCCTGCTGAGCCTGGAAAAGTAGAAAAAGTAAAGAATAAGCCAGGGAAAATCAGACACAACAGAGCCCCAACTAGATTTCATGGGTAGGATAAGGAAGTGGTTAAAAAAGAAAAAGGATAGATCCATTAATGAGGTAACAAATTATTGCCTTCATATTGGGACAGTAAAGGGCCAAATGGAAAAGAATGAAAGAGAAAGACAGAGAGACAGAGAGAGAGAGAGAGCTCGCTCAGTGAATTGTCCAGGTGATACACTGATGAGGGAGTAACAGGACACTCTGAGTTAGTGCCCTCAGGACACACAGTATACAGTGATCATGAAAAGACTGTGCTCAATAATTTTCCATAAAATGTGCTCAAGATTCCATGCAGTCACCATGAGAATACAGCTTTTGAAGTATGGTCGGCCTACAGTAGGTTTGTAAATGATAAGGGGAGAAAGAAATGGAAACCTAAATATCTACTGCAATGAAAACCAACATCAATGTTAGTAGGAATAATTCAGGCTTGGTTGAAAAGATGTAATCGATATTGTCGGCCCGCTCTGTTTTCCCTGAACCAGGAATCTCCAAGTGTCAACACAGAATTAGCTGTTCACAATTGCTCAAAGTTACCTGGGGCATGGTGGGCCTTGGTCTTCTCCCTCTTCTTGGTCCTTTTTAATTCCTGCAACAAGTCAGACAGAGACAGACAAAATAAGCCAATTTACCTAACCCATAACAGTCCACTGTCTAATCCCCACATGGGGACCTCAGGCTCCTCAGCATGAGAACAGGACAATGTGAAAGATATACATCAGGAGGTCTGAAAGTTGGTCATGATAGAGATTCTTTGGTTTGCATTTCAGAACCAAGGGTGAAATATCCGTATTCTGGTAGATTGTTATCCCAAAATCATTTATCCCAAGTTTGTGCAAACAGTTATGCCTTATTGTTCCCATCAATTCAAAGAAAATGCCCCAGATGATTTCTAGGAGGAAAGCTGCAGTATCCAGCCCTGTCTCATCAAATAACCAGCTTGTTCATGGTTCCAAGAAACTGAAATTAGAATGAAGGAGGAAATCTACAAACCCTTGAGTCCAAATCATAGTTCTGTGAATTTCTTAAATCTGCCTGGGTGCAATGTGCTGACAGTGGGATCAGGTTGCCACAGGCATGGCTGGCGACTAGGAATAGAGCCATGCTCACTGACCCATTTCATGTCTGGGCTTCCAACTGAAACTACAGTTTCATTACAACCTATATGCGCCCATAGGTCCTGCCTGCGGCAATGACATCTCTCAGGTCAGTAAGGGCCACTTGGAAGAGGAATATCACCCCTATCTGGAAGGGGTGGAGCCTTATCTCCTTCATAGTAAGTTACTCACTGTCCACGTCAAGAGCCAAGCCAAGGTGCTCTTCCTCCAATGAGTAAAAGGCACTTCTGTAGGGCTGGCATAAGTCAGGCAGTTCAAGATAACCAGGAGGAGTCGAATAACATCTATCCAGTAAGTCCTGTAAGACTTCAGCTCTTTCTCATCCAGCAGCTCCCTGCTGAGCCTGGAAAAGTAGGAAAAAGTAAAGAATAAGCCAGGTGGAATCAGAAACCACACAGCCCCAGCTAGATTTCATGGGTAACATAAGGAAGTGTTTGAGAAGAAAAAGGACAGATCCATTAATGAGGTAACAAATTATTGCCTTTATATTGGGATAGGCCAGGACCAGGTAGAAAAGCATGAAAGAGAAACAGAGAGAGAAAGAAACACACACACACACAGAGACAGTGAGCTCAGTGAATTGGCCAGGTGACACACTGATAAGGGAGTCAAAGGACACTCTGCATTTGTGCCCTCAGGACACACAGTGAACAGTGATCATGAAAAGAGTGGCCTCAATAATTTTGCATAAAATGTGCTTAAGTTTCCCTGCAGTCACCACGAGAATACAGCTTTTGAGGTATGGTCAAGCTTCGCTAGGTTAGTAAATGATAAGGGTAGGAAGAAATGGAAACCTAAACATTTACTGTAATGAGAACCAAAAGCAATGTTAGTAGGTGTAATTCAGACTTGTCTGACAAGATGAAATCATTATTTTCAGCATGTACTGTTTTCCCTGGACTTGGCGTCTCCAGGTGTCAACATCAAATTAACTGTCCACAATTTCTCAGACTCACCTAGGACCTGTTGCTTCTGCTGGTGATACCCAGGCAAACAGGGTCTGGAGTGGACCTCCAGCAAACTCCAACAGACCTGCAGCTGAGGGATCCACCTGTGAGAAGGAAAATTAACAAACAGAAAGGAATAGCATCAACATCAACAAAAGGACATCCACACCAAAACCACATCTGTAGGTCACCATCATCAAAGACCAAAATAGTAGATAAAACCACAAAGATGGGAGAAACCAGAGCAGAAAGGCTGAAAATTCCAAAAACCAGAAAGACTCTTCTCCTCCAAAGGAACACAACTCCTCACCAGCAAGGGAACAAAACTAGATGGAGAATTAGTTTGACAAGTTGACAGAAGTAGGCTTCAGAAAGTTGGTAATAACAAACTTCTCTGAGCTAAAGGAGGATATGCAAACCCATCGCAAGGAAACTGAAAACCTTGAAGAAAGGTTAGATGAATGGCTAACTAGAATAAACAGTGTAGAGAAGACCTGAAATGACCTGATAGAGCTGAAAACTATGGCACAAGAACTACATGACGCATGCACAAGCTTCAGTAGGTGATTTGGAAGAAAAGGTATCAGTGATTGAAGATCAAATTAATGAAATCAAGTGAAAAGAGAAGTTTAGAGAAAAAAGGGTAAAAAGAAATGAACAAAGCCTCCAAGAAATATGGGACTACATGATAAGACCAAATCTACGTTTGATTGGTGTACCTGAAAGTGACGGGGAGAATGGAACTAAGCTGGAAAACACTCTTCAGGATATTATCCAGGAGAACTTCCCCAACCTAGTAAGGCAGGCCAACATTCAAATTCAGGAAACACAGAGAATGCCACAAAGATACTCCTCAAGAAGAGCAACCCCAAGACACATAATTGTCAGATTCACCAATGTTGAAATTAAGGAAAAAATGCTAAGGGCAGCCAGAGAGAAAGGACAGGTTACCCACAAAGGGAAGCCCATCAGACTAACAGCCTATCTCTAGGCAGAAACCCTACAAGCCAGAAGACAGTGGGGGCCAATAGTCAACATTCTTAAAGAAAAGAATTTTCAACCCAGAATTTCATATCCAGGCCCACCTTACAACAGCTCCTGAAGGAAGCACTAAACATGGAAAGGAACAACCGGTGCCAGCCACTACAAAAACATGTCAAATTGTAAAGACTATCGATGGTAGGAAGAAAGTGCATCAACTAACAAGCAAAATAACCAACTAACATCATAATGACAGGATCATATTCACACATAACAGTATTAACCTGAAATATAAATGGGCTAAATGTCCCAATTAAAAAACACAGACTGGCAAATTGGACAAAGAGTCAAGATCCATCAGTGTGCTGTATTCAGGAGATCCATCTCACAGGCAGAGACACGTATAGGCTCAAAATAAAGGGATGGAGGAAGATCTACCAAGCAAATGGAAAGCAAAAAAAAAAAAAAGCAGGGGTTGCAATCCTAGTCTCTGATAAAACAGACTTTAAACCATCAAAGATCAAAAGAGACAAAGAAGGCCATTACATAATGGTAAAGGGATCAATTCAACAAGAAGAGTTAACTATTCTAAATATATATGCACCCAATACAAGAGCACTCAGATTCATAAAGCAAGTCCTTACAGACTTAGAAAGAGACTTAGACCCCCACACAATAATAATGGGAGAATTTAACACCCCACTGTCAATATTAGACAGATCAATGGACAGAAGCTTAACAAGGATATCCAGGACTTGAACTCAGCTCTGCATTAAGCAGACCTAATAGACATCTACAGACCTCTCCACCCTAAATCAACAGAATATACATTCTTCTCAGAACCACATCACAATTATTCTAAAATTGACCACATAGTTGGAAGTAAAGCACTCCTCAGCAAATGTAAAAGAAGAAAAATCAGAACAAACTGTCTCTCAGACCACAGTGAAATAAAATTAGAACTCAGGATTAAGAAAGTCACTCAAAACTGCACAACTACATGGAAAATGAACAACCTGCTCCTGAATGACTACTGGGTAAATAACAAAATGAAGGCAGAAATAAAGATGTTCTCAGAAACCAATGGGAACAAAGACACAATGTATCAGAATCTCTGGGACACATTTAAAGCAGTGTGTAGAGGGAAATTTATAGCACTAAATGCCCACAAGAGAAAACAGGAAAGATCTAAAATCTAACATCACAATTAAAAGAACTAGAGAAGCAAGGCAAACAAATTCAAAAGCTAGCAGAAGACAAGAAATGACTAAGATCAAAGCAGAACTAAAGGAGATAGAGGAACAAAAAAACCCTTCAAAAAAAATCAATGAATCCAGGAGCTGGTTTTCTGAAAAGATCAACAAGAAAACCCTGTTTGGCTAGTTCATCTGGCTCATCTGATTGCAAGTTCCTATCTTGAGAGGACTATGAAATTAAAACCAATACAAGTGCCACAAATAACACACATTGTTAATAAGGACAATTTGTAACTGGGTGAATGGAAGAAATAGTTCTATTCATCAATTCCTCGTTTTCCCTAAATCTACAATCTCCTGGTGTCACTACTGAGTTAACAGCCCACAATTCCACAGCATTACCTGGGAGACACTGGGCCTTTTTCTTCCTCTTCCTCATAATCACTTTCATTTTCTGTAAATAAATTCACAGAAGAGGTCACATTAAGCAATTCACACTTCACATATGGCCAAATCACTGTATAGTCATAGCACAAGAACATAACTATTCTCAGTGCAAGAATATGGATTCTGATGGGAATATTCTAGGGTGCCCTAGATTAAGTCTGGTGAGAAGTAGATGACCCTGCTTTCCAGACCCACAGGCCAAAATCTCCCTCTCTGTGTAGACCATAATGCCATATTCTCTGCCTGAGTCAAAGTTAAACAAAATTTTTCCCCCAAAAAATCTCCGAAAACTGGTCAAACAATTTTCTAGGAGTGTTGCTGCAATGCTGACTTATATTACCAGGTAACATGGACATTAAATGTTTAGAGGCATCTACACATGAAACTTGACTGATAGATAAATTAGAACAACTCTTGCTTTAAAAAGAATCTGTGATTTGGGAGGCCAAGACAAGTCAATCATTTGAGGTCATGAATTCAAGACCAGCCTGGCCAATATGGGGAAACCCCTTCTCTACTAAAAATACAAAAATTAGCCAGATGTGGTGGTGTGCACCTGTGGTCCTAGCTACTCAAAAGGCTGAGGCAGGAGAATCACTTGAATCTGGGAGGCGGAGGTTGCGCCAAGCCAAGATGGTGCCACTGCACTCCAGCCTGGGTGACAGAGCAAGACTCCATTGCAAAAAAAAAAAAAAAAATCTACGACGCTACAAAGAAACAACATTGGATCAGCCATTGCACTGATGGGGTGGAGAACCAGGGTCTAGCCTTGCTTTATGGAAATATATCAGCAAAGTAAAGAAGAAAAGTTTCTGTCCTGATTTCAAGGTGACTGTGCAGCTAAGCAAGCTGACTTACAGGAGATCAAGATTAAAGCTGAGAGCAGTGAAGCCTGGAGAACAATATTTCCAAATACAAAGGCAAGGCTGCCAGCTTCCTTAAAAAGGCATAAGAACTCCGTGGACATTGTTCAGGGACAGATGACTTAATCACAGATGACAAGAAATACTGAATCAAAGCTAGGAGGCCTGACAGATACTTCCTGTGCATCTCCTGCACAGATGACTATGAGATCATCACACTTGCGTAGGGTCCAGTAACTTGATACTGGGGACTGGCAGACAAAGGCATGACATGAGTTGAGAAAGACAAAAAAACTCACTGATACCTGTGTTTAGAATCCGATCGGCGTTCTTTATTCAAACCAATTTGTGTGTATAGAGCCTGTCTTCAGAGTTTATCTTCCTCAGCCTAGACAGAGGTATGAGACACAAGGAATACAGAGGCTACCTGGGATAATTTGTACAGCATCCTCCCATTCATCACGAGAGGATGAGTCAACGACAGTTGAGTCGACTTTGTCTTCCTCAAATGTGATTTTGGTGTTTCTGTGTGGCTTGTTGGAGTCACAAGGGCTGTGGCTATTTGAACAAGGGACGGCACATGCCTCCAGTGAGTCCTCAGGGATTTCCCTTTCTTCAGCCTTCTGCACCTCCCTGATGAGCCAGGTGGGACAGAGATGGCAGAAGATTAAACACAGAGGGATTAAACCCCAGGGAGTCCTAGCTGGTTTTGACAAGAGGCATTAAGAGGGTGGTCCCAGAAAGCAAACAGGAGGTTCCCTTTGAGAGGGAACAGGCAAACCTCTTCTCTCTGCGACAGATCATGGCTGCCATGGGAGCCAGAGAGGAAGAGAGCAACTGGTGTTCATTGCACTGGACAAATAGGAGCTGAGGAGGATTATGACTCAGCTATCCCTGTACAGTACAGACATGACACTCGGCACACACAGAGAAACACAACAGCTGCTATACCCTGTGTCTAAGCTGGGTTGAATTTCACATACTGTGGCTAAGGGAATGCAGGCCTATAGGGAGAACCCGCTCCCGATGTTTAACGTGGGTTCTTTTCTATTTCGTAAGTGTCTCAGCTGGGTTGAGAAATAAAGGGAAAGAGCACAAGAGAGAGAAATTTAAAGCTGGGTGTCCGGGGGAGATATCACATGTCGGCAGCATCCGTGATGTTCCCCAAGCCGTAAAACCAGCAAGTTTTTATTACCGATTTTCAAAAGGGGAGGGAGTGCACGAATAGGGTATAGGTCACAGAGATCACATACTTCACAAGGTAATAAAATATCACAAAGCAAATGGAGGCAGGGCTAGATCACAGGACCACCAGATGAGGTGAAATTAAAATTGCTAATGAAGTTAGCATTAGCAATTTTTTTTTTTTTTTTTTTTGAGACGGAATCTCCCTCTGTCCCCCAGGCTGGAGTGCAGTGGCCAGATCTCAGCTCACTGCAAGCTCTGCCTCCCAGGTTTACGCCATTCTCCTGCCTCAGCCTTCTGAGTAGCTGGGACTACAGGCACCCACCACCTCGCCAGGCTAGTTTTTTGTATTTTTTTTTTTTTTTTTTTAGTAGAGATGGAGTTTCACCAGGTTAGGCAGGATGGTCTCGATCTCCTGACCTCATGATCCGCCCATCTCGGCCTCCCAAAGTGCTGGGATTACAGGCTTGAGCCACCGCGCCCGGCCAGTATTAGCAATTTTAATGACACATTGTCATTGAAAACGTCTTACCAGGAAACAGGGTTTGAGAGCAGATAACCTGTCTGACCACAATTTATTAGGTGGGAATTTTCCTCCACTTAATAAGCCTGGGAGTGCTATAGGAGACTGGGGCTTATTTCATCCCTTCGGCTTCGACCATAAAAGACGGGAGGCCTTAAAAAGGGGCCCCGTCTATAAGCCTACCTTCAGGGCACATTTTCTTTCTCAGGGATGTTCCTTACTGAGAAAAAGAATTCAGTGATATTTCTCCTATTTGCTTATGAAAGAGGAGAAATATAGCTCTGTTCCAGCCGGCTCACCGGCGGCCAGTTCAAAGTTACCTCTCTTGTTCCCTGAACATTGCTGTTATTCTGTTCTTTTTTTAAGATGCCCAGATTTCATATTGTTCAAACACACATGCTCCACAAAAAATTTGTGCAGTTGATACAATCACAGAGTCCTGAGGTGACATTCATCCTCCTCAGCCTACAACGAAGATGACAGGATTAAGAGATAAAGACAGGCATAGAAAAACACAAGGGTGTTGACTGGGGAAGTGATAAGTGTGCATGAAATCTTCACAATTTATGTTCAATGATTACAGTAAAGACAGGTGTAAGATTATAAAAGTATTAATTTGGGGAACTAATAAATGTCCATGAAATCTTCACAATCTATGTTCTTCTGCCACGGCTTCAGCCAGTCCCTCCGTTTGGGGTCCCTGACTTCCCGCAACACAGGCCTTTGGCCTATCATAGCTGCCAGAGAGGGTGTGCCTCCTAGACCTTTTTCATATGTTACAACCCATTACTTACTCCTGAGTATTCAGTGTTACCCAGGGGCACATGATTCCTGTACTTTCTCAGCCTCCTCAACTTTAACATCTTCATCCTCATCTTCATCATTTTCTGTAAATACAGAAGTGTTCCTTCAGATATTTCCCACTTTACACTCTGCAAGCACAGTCAGCCCAATGTGCACAAAAACATGAACATCTAGGTATGAGTCATCGTTCAACTGAAATCTCTCATGTTTTATCTTCAATAAAACGCCCTGGCATGGTTTACAGATCCATCAGGCAATGCATTTCTGATCTGGAGGGCCACCATCAAGATGTGGCCAAATATTGAAAAGACCTTTTGTTCCCCATATCACTGGAGGCTTGTGCAGCCTCTCTCTGGACTTTGGCAGCTGTCTCCCCCATCCTGCCACAGATCTGATTCCCAGGCACAGGCTTGGTGTCCTGTCATAGTTCTCATTTCAAACCTAATTCTTTCTCTTAGGAGAGGACAAACTTGTCCCACAGTCCTCTATGCATCAGGAGACTGCACAGGCCCCCCATGTGGCTTCTGCTGTGTTATTCAGGGATATGCTCTCCATGGGGAGTGCTCCAGTCTGAAGCACTTCCTACCACCAAATGCCCCCACATCAACTGCCTTCTCCAACACCACACAGTGAGGGGCTTCATCTCATTTTGAAAAGCAGTTGTTAAGTGTTCCCACATTTGGATGCTTCAGACCCTTGCGAGAGACAATTTGCCTGCCTTTGCAGATGGAGACAGAGAAACTCAGGAAGGACAAATCACTCACTGACAGTTACTAAGAACATTGCTGAAGAGACAGCCTGGGAACCTTCGTTCTTAGTCCAGAGCTCTTTTCACTCTAACAAGCGCTCTCCTGTCACGGCCTCCTTCTTGTCCTTTAAAACCAGATAGATGCTGCCTCTTTCTCCAAAGACCACCTTCCATCCAGGAAGGAGGGACATTTGCAATACTGTGACCTCCAACCCCATGGGTTTCCCATCTCTGTTCTTACCCAGGAAGTCCTGGTCATGTCATAGCCACATATGTTTAGTGGAAAAAACACCACCGATACAACTGTCATTGTGAAAGTATGCAGGTCTGGAGTCTCTCACAAGCCTGGGGTTTTGAGTCATCAGGGCCTATGGCCACCATACCTGGGCTGAGCTTTTGGACAAGGTGCTGTGCCAGCCTACACCCCTCAGCCAGCTATTCTTGGAGGTCCTGCCCTGGGACTTGTCTGGCTCATCCGGAGCGAGGAGGGCCTGGAGATGCCGATTCGATGAGCAGGAGGCATCTCTCCCTTCCCATAACTTCTCCCTTAACTGGGTCAGCTCTCATTCCTGAGAGTGAACCAGGACTTTATATTGCCTAAGGTGAGACAGTAGAGAAAATTTAACAGTGGAAAGGGATGAGTGGTCAGTTCTAATATTGCAACAGAGATTTCTGAGACAATGTCCTCAAGGAGACCTCCAAGCAGAAGGTCAGCACATGTTTAAAGGAATGTCTGTGGCCAAGAGAAAGAATACAAAATGGTTTACAGCCTTCCTCTATATCAGAGAGGCCTCCTGTAAGATCCTCGATGATGTTCCATTAGTCTTTCTCTTCTGTAAACAAAAGTAGGTGTCTTCCTAATTCCGCTTCAAAAAGACATCCTTTCAGTTCCTCACTCTGGCCATGGACAATTCCATGTGAAAATACACACAGTGCATCTTGCGGTGACCAGATACAAAGCCATGTACAGAAATGAGGCCAGGTGCAGATGGGGCGAATTGAAAAGATGAAACAAGAAAATAATGACAGGGTCAAGAAGGCAACATTGATTGGGTGAAAGAATGAGAAGCCGCAGTCAGTCAGGAGCTGATTCTCACTAAGGGTAAGTGGGGTGGTGAAGGCACACCATTTTGAGTATACTGAATGCTGCTGGGTGGTTCCCACTCTTTTGGTTAATTTTGTGTTATGCAAATTTCACCTCAACAATTACTTGTTTGAGAAAAAGAAAACAAGGCTCTGAGAAACAACTGCAACCCATAACTTACTATTATCCTTGTTCTCTGTTGGATAAATATTTGTGTGTCGTGAGCCTGCCATGGCAATTCCTGCCCTTCCCCTGGTCCAGCTTAGCTCTTACTTTTCCCCGCCGAACTGCTGTACTTCAGAGATTTACACACCTGCCCACCTGCCTACCCCCACGGGGTCCCCTCACCTGAGCTCCTTAGCCTGCCTGAGCTGCTCTGCAACCTTCTCCTCCTTGAACTGAAGCTCACCCCTCAGCATAGATTTTATGAGGTCTTTGCACTCTTCATACTCTGAGAAAAGACAGACATGCCTGCCTCAGTGGAAGGCTGGACATGCTGCTGTGGTCACTGCCTACAGGGCAGGAGTGAGGTCCATCCCAAGGACAAAACTGTCCCCAGTACCAGGCTCTAGGAAGGGATTTCCACATCTTTACTCTTCAGTCTCCTGACTTTCTAGCATCTGTTTCTCCAAAATTTAGAGACGAAGAAAGAGAAACTCAAGAGCACATCAAGGAAGCTGACCAGATGATTCAACCACAATGAAGTGGAGTCAGAATTCACAGCCCCTGAGGTCTGACTCTGAATGTGGAGCCACTTGTCCAAGCCTTGCAGCCTCTCCTCTAAAACACTGCACTGGGGCATGAAGTAGTGATTTCTTGTATGTTCGGAAAGGCCCCTAGGACTATGGGACAGATGGTTTCCCTTTTACCGGGAATTTCAAAGAAAAATACGTCAAAGATTTTTAAAATATTTGATTTTTAAATCATAATCATATCTGAAGCATAAAGTATGAGACATAAGGCCATGAGGGAAATATGCCCAAATACTAATAAAGTTTGTGTTAATTTAGAAACAGTAGAATAAAGAACTAATAGATAGTGTTTACTCTGTGCCAATAAATATTCTACAAGATTGACAAGAAATAGCTCATGTAATTCACTGCAGCAATTTACAGAGGTAGGTATTATTGTAGTATTGTATGAACAGGTGAGGAAACTGAGCGACAGACAAGACAAGCAACTTGGATGGAGCCCAGGAGACAGGCCCAGGGTCCCTGCTCTGCACACTGCACTGCTACTTCCACACATTCTTGGGTGAGATCTTTCTTCCTCTTTAGGAACAAGAGCCTGTGCCCTAGGACTTCCCTCTTACCAGGGTACTCTCTGTTGTTTATTTTTTTATTTTTGTTTGTTTGTTTATTTTTGACCAGTCTTGCCCTGTCACCCAGGCTAGAATGTAATGGCACAATCTTGGCTCACTGCAACCTCTGCCTCCTGGGTTCAAAGGATTCCCCTGCCTCAGTCTCCCGAGTAGTGGGGATTACAGGCACCTGCCACCATGCCCAGCTAATTTTTGTATTTTTAGTAGAGATGGGGTTTCTCCATGTTGCCCAGGCTAATCTCAAACTCCTGACCTCGTGATCTGCCCACTTCGGCCTTCCAAAGTGATGGGATTACAAGAGTGAGCAACTGTGCACAGCCCCTACTCCCTCCTCTTGATTCTGTCACTTATAGATACCACAGGTTCTATTAGGAGCAGAGTCCTCTTGAAGCTCCTCAGAGCAGGTACTGGGTACTATCACCAAGTTTCCCTCAGGGTCACTAGAACAGAGCTTTGCCTATAGGGCCTCAACAGAAGCTTGAACTGAATAAAAGTTCACTAGTCCCAGACACTTAGAACAGACTAGACGTTATTTGTCTGCAGGATCTTATATGGTACAGACAGTAGTCTTGAAAACATGATTTAGCCTCTTGGAGAAAACAGGTCGTTCTGTGCCTGTGACAGAAATCAACTGGGATTTTAATTCTAGTCCCATCCCCACCTAACTGTAAGTATGGAAAGTTGTTAAATACTTTGGTACCTCTGTCTTCCAACTTTAACAAAATGCTAAAACACCCATTTCTATTTTCCTAGAAGTACGGGAGGGATGAAATTATTTTTGATGGAGAGTGCATTTAGTTTCTCAGAGAGAAGACAGGACATCATTCATCACTTTCGTGATGGTGAGCCTATTGAACTTACGGTATGTGTTCTGCTGGTTGGCCAGGAAGTAGGCCACTTGAGTTATAAGAAATTTCTCTTTGATATTTCTGAACTGCTGTTTGTTCTCTGCCATCTGGGGATACAAATTCTCTCTGATTTCTAGAATGTTCATCTCTGCCTTCTCACTGGACCAAAGGCCAGCAGATACCACCATGCTGACATTTGTTGCAGAAAAGGTGGAGCTAGGGACTGGGGAGAAGAAACACAAACACAGGATGGGTTAAAAACTGGTGAAATCAAATAAGTTTAATTAGGACCGAGGGATGTCAGTAACTGAAATTCTTAACTTACTGTTGAGAAAAACGTGATCACTCCCCACAGCACTTTAGGATCCTTAACCACAAAACCAAGGTTTGAGGTGCCTGAGCTCAGAGCTGAAGGCACTGCCAGTCACTCAGTCTCTGACAAGAGTGAAGATGATTGTGGCCAGCATGCCAGGTAACCGTCTGCAGTTGCAATAACAGAATTAGAAAGTGGGGGTGTCATGGAATCTTAGGATCCCTGCATTCCAGTTGCCCAGGCTTTGCTGAAACACAGGCACCCTGGTCTCTCCTGAGGGTAACCACCAATGGGGATCATTCCTTCAGCATTCACTCTCAGTATTCATGTACCCTTGTGACAATGCCACCGACCCATCTCTTTCCCAATACATCTAAGCATATTCCTCACTGTTTATCTCTTGTCTGTACAACATCATCAAGGCAGAAACATTTCCCAACAGGTTATATGAATTCCTTATATACTCTAGGTAGTAGACTCCTGTCAAATATATAATTTGGAAATAGTTCTCCCATTATATGGATTATCTTTTCACTTCCTTGACAGTGTCCTTTGAAGCATATAAGATTTTTATTTTAATGAAGTCCATTTATCTATCTATTTTTGGGTTGTTTGTGCCTACTTAAAAAATGTCTAATCCAAAGTCACAAAGATTTGTACCTACGTTTTCTTCAAGACATTGTTTTTTGAATGAGAACTTTCCTGGGTTTTAGTGGAGGGTGGACATTGTTTATTTATGCCTCCTGTCCATTACCGATGTTTGTCCTGATTGTTATTCATATGCTCACCACCCCTCCATGGAGCACCCCATGGCCTGTAACAGAGCTCTGGGGACCGATATCCTTCCACTGACTTTGGCGCTGGTGAGAGCCCTGGTCATATGGTTCAGCTTGGCCTTAACCCGACCCAATTGCACATATTCCTCAGGGCCTTCAGAGTTGAAGTTGAGAGCCTCTCTGAGAACGCTTGCCAGCCCATGCTGTTCTAAGGCTGGAGCAAACTTCCTCCGTCTATTCCAGACAGAGGGGACTGCAGGGATTGGACTCAGTCAAGACATCTCTGGTGTTAGAAAGTAGACCTGTTTCAGGGTTTGGGGAAGATTGTTCAATATGAACTAGGTCCTCTCTAATTATTTTTACCGTATGTGTGACTTCTTTCTAGAAACAAAGGAAAAATATTTATGTTAGAACATTTTGTCTATTCTTTGTCAATTGTTGTTTGTCTACAATTTTAACATTATCCACGTTAAAGGAGAGCTCAGTGTAAATATATTCTTAAAAATTATGGTTCACGTCCACTGCCATGCAATCATATTTAAATCCATGAACAATCCTGTTACTTAGGTATTATCCTGCTCCTGATGAGAAAACAAACTCAGAAAAATTGCAAAATTTCCATAGGTCACAAAACTAGTGACGAGAGGAAAAAGAATTAGAAACCAGTTCCTTTTGACCTTCAAAGCTAACCTTGTACCATTAGATCAAACTGATTTACATACTTTTGCTGGAATTAGTCTCAGAGTTTGTGGTTCTCACTTGATTTTCCCAAGGAAACAGTGTGCCACTTTAATATCATTTCAAACTTTGAAATTTAAAACTTTTTATTATACTTTTTTTTTAATTATACTTTTTTGTCTTTGTTCTGTTCCATTGCTTTTGGTTTCTTCTCAATGGATCCCTCTTATTTATATGCTAAATATTTGCTACCTATTTTCTGTCAATTTTCACTTTTTTTTTTTTGAGACAGAGTTTTGCACTTGTTGCTCATGCTGAAGTGCAATGGCACAATCTTGGCTCACCGCAACCTCTGCCTCCCAAGTTCAAGGGAGTCTCCTGCCTCAGCCTCCCGAGTAGCTGGAATTACAGGCAAGCACCACCATGCCCGGCTAATCTTTTGTATTTTTAGTAGAGACGGTTTCTCCATGTTGGTCAGGCTGATCTCGAACTCCCGACCTCAGGTGATCCGCCCACCTCAGCCTCCCAAAGTGCTGGGATTACAGGTGTGAGCCACCACGCCCGGCCAATTTTCACATTTTTGAGTGTTTGTTATCTCTCTCTTTGTTGTATGCTAACAGTTCTTCACTGAGGTATAATTTGCAGAGAGTATACTGCAAAAAACCTAAAGGTACAGTTTAATAAATTTTAATATAACTATACATTGTATAATAACACCCAGTTAAAGACAGAGAACATTTTCCCCCACGCCACAAAGTTCTGATGTGGTCCCTGCCAGTCAATACTCATCCCCCATATGAAGAATATATTCTGAATGTTGTCACTGCCTTAGTCCTTTTGTGTTGCTGGAAAGGAATACCAGAGGCTGGGTAATTTATAAAGAAAAAAGATGCATTTTGCTCATAGTCCTGCAGGCTGCACAAGAAGCATGGCACCAGCATCTGCTCCTAATGAGGGCCTGAGACTGCTTCCACTTGCAGCAGAGGTGAAAAGGAACCAGTGTGTGCAGAGATTATACGGTGAGAGAGGAAGCAAAAGAGAGTAAAGGTGAGAGGCACTTTTTAATAACTAGATCCTATAGGAACTGAGAGTGAGAATTCACTCACTACCTTCTCCCAGGGTGGGGTTTAATCTATTCATGAGGGATCCACTCCAATGACCCAAACACCTCCCATTAACCCCCTCCTCCAACACTGGGGACCACGTTTAAACATGTGATTTGGAGGGGACCAATATTTAAACTATAGCAGCCACCGTAGATTAATTTTGCTTATTCATGTGCTTCATAAAAATGGAATCATTTTGGTCAGGCCTGGTGGCTCACACCTGTAATCCCAAGACTTTGAGAGGCTGAGGTGGGCAGACCACCTGAGGTCAGGAGTTCAAGACCAGCCTGACCAACATGGCAAAACCCTGTCTCTACTGAAAATACAAAAATTAGCCACACGTGATGGCAGGTACCTGTAATCCCAGCTACTTGGGAGGCTGAGGCAGGGAAAATTTCTTGAACCTGGGAGGCAGAGCTGAGATTGTGCCACTGCACTCCAGTCTAAGGGACAGAGTGAGACTACGTCTCAAAAAAATAAAAAAAAGTAATCATTTAGTATGTTCTCTTGTTTTGACTTCTCTTACTCAGGTGGTTATATATGCCACTAATTTGTCTGATTGTGTTTTTCCCTTGTTTCATTTTGTTTTGGCCAAGTAATAGCCTATTGATTGTATGATTATCACACAATTTGATATCCATTTTTCTGATGGGAAGCAGGTTTACTTGTTGGCTACTGTGCATAAGTAACTATGAATATTCTCATACAATTATTTCTGTGAAGATACATAATTACTTTCCTGGATATGTATAGCTAGGGATGGAGTTGCTTGGTGAATGGGTAGAAAATGGACACAGAGTTTTGCAAAGTAACTGTATTATTTTACATTTCTATGAAAGATGTAGGCCATTTTCAGTTGCTCTACATTCCCACACACTTAATATTTTTAGTCTTTTAAATTATAGCCATTCTACCAGGTGTCTAGTGACATCCTATTTTGGTTTTCTCATGCCTAATGTTCATTTAGATACCTTCTTATGGAAAATATCTTCTCAAATTTTTATGTTCATTGATATACTGGGGTGTCTGTCATTTTCTTTGTAATCTATAGGAGTTCTTTATATATTTTGAATGAGTCCATTTATATATACATATTTTTTGCTATATTATATAGCAAATAATTATTCCTGGTCTACAGATAGCTTTTAAGTTATTAAACAACAACAAAATAAGGAGAAGGTTTTTTAAAATGAAGTGCAATTAAAATGGTTCAGGTCAGACCGTGGCTTATGTCTGTAATCCTAGCACTTTGGGAGGTCAAGGCAGGTGGATCACTTGAGGTCAAGAGTTAGAGAACAACCTGGCCAACATGGAGAAACCTTGTCTCTACTTAAAGTGCAAAAATTAGCCAGGTGTGGTGGCGGGTACCTGTAATCCCAGCTATTCAGGAGGCTGAGGCAGGAGAATCACTTGAACCCCAGAGATGGAGGTTGTAGTGAGCTGAGATCACGCCATTGCATTCCAGCCTGAGGAACAGAGCAAAAACTCCATCTCAAAAATAAATAAATAAATAAATAAATAAAGATGGTTCATTACTTAACTCCACATATTATGATGTGAAAATATATCATCTTGATTTTAATAGCAGATTTTTAAAAATTCCTTTTCTTGTGCTTACCAGACAAGGTTTGGTAGCAAATACCAGTCACGGGCACAGATGAACCAATTCAAGGAGAGTCATAAACAGGATCACTATTATGTTCCCCCAAAAACCATCCCTAGAATGCAATCTCTTCTCTACTTGTCACAAAATGAACACAATAGTCCACTATATAAAGTCCCAAACACATGAAAATGTAGATATAATGAAGTCTGCTTTCCAAATATTTATTCTACTTAGACCCAGTCATGGGGACCAGGGATTAGGAAATGACTACAATGAGGTTCAAGGGAATTTGGGGAAGAGACAAAATGTGCTAAAGTAGAACTCTGCTGATGGCTGCACAATTCTATAAATCAATTCTATAAATCATTGAGTTGTACACTGACAATAGGTGACTTTTATAACAAGTCATTCTTTAAACGAACTTTTGGGTTTCTATTCCAACACGGAAAGAGCTAGGCAGTCATCACTTGTCCTCACAGCTAGAAAAAAAGCTGAATGAACTGAAAGTCAACCCTTCTAGGGTGGATGAGAGAATTGAGGTCACAGGAAAAATGACCTCCCTAAAAATGAGAAAGACAGGCTAACACACAAGGAGTCACAGCTCACAGGAAGAGAAGCTACTGGGGACAGCAAGTGCAAGGAGCACTTAAATGGTATTGATGGATTACTAGAAGCTGAGGGTGGCCTGGCTAGAGCATTAAAAACTCCTTGAAAACCAGACTAAGGGGGAATCTCACACATTTCCAAGTTTTAC